TACTAAGTGATGTTAATTATAAAATATAGTTGTAAACCCAATTAAGTGTGTGAAATTAATATGCAATGTACGTAACACATATACTTTGCATGTGTTCACCGGGAAGATTATGAAACAAAATAAACAGTGTGTACCACGTGACTTTCGTAAACCAAGGAGCGGAATGTCGCAACTCTTTATATATAATATGGCTCTGGACTATGCAGTGGCTATGTACAGTACTGTAAATGCTAATTTGGTAGAGACTTAACACAGCCTTTAATCGTGGTGGATATGAATATTTATGAGATCAATTCAAAAGAATGCATCAAAAAGTTGACCGCGATGAATACAACTCACCAGGAACCTAAATCCGCCTAGGCCTCTGCCTTCCTTGACTTTGGCGATGTATTATATCTTTTAACATCTTATAGTTACCCGTGGCGAGGCGTTTACAGTCTGTAGATGCCCCCTTGGCAACATTCTGTATTAACTTCCCTTTGTAGGGTGACGTTGAACTTTCACATTGTTCGTTAACTTGTTTCAGCATCTTTCGAAACAACTCAAGATCCGATTGAAAGCTAAGGCTACTGCCATAATTAGCAATTTTATTCCAAAGTGTTTGGTTGAAATACGAGTACAAGAGCACATCAACGGAGTTCCACTCGCGTATTTTTCCCGCAAGTGTGTGCGAAAGAGGTTCAACATGTGCTCGTGCATTTTTTGCCATGTAAAGAATATCATTCCACGACCAACAGAGCACCTTTCGAAGAATAACAAGCGATTCGTCAATGTGTTCTAAGATCAAAACCAAGTCCAGCTCATCATCTAACCGATTAATATACTGCTTCACTGTACTTTTATTGTCGTGGTACTTGTGATCCAAGCCTAGGTCAAATATTTGATCATTCTTCGCATAGTACCAACCAGTTCCTAAACGATTTGTAAGTGGCCATACTACTTGCTTGAATTTTTCCCTGTTATAATCAGGATTGAGAAAGAAATATTCAAGGCGTTCTCTCATAGGTACGATCTGTTGTTTACGTGGTAAAGATTTCCAATATTCGAATGCAACGAAGGCAGATTCAAACTGAGTTGCTGGATCTCGAAGTATTGTAATATATTTTGTTCCCGGTTTCATAAATGAATCGAAAGCTGACCGAAAGTAACGAATGTGTATAGCTACAAGGTTATATTTGTAGTTGTCATAGTCACCAACAGTAACCCCCACAGGCGGTAGAAAGCTAAATTTAGCCATATCAGCAAATAACCTGTTGGTAACTCCAACATGACCGTTAATGGAACTATTTTTACCCAAAACAAAAGATAAGTTGTTTCTGTATCCAAACGTATTAATAACGTGAGCAAGGGTGGAACTACCGGTTTTATGCGTTTTTATAAATGCAACGTTTTTCACCTTCACTGTTGTACAACCTGTAACATTTCCGAAGTCATTCCATAGATCTGGACGATGAATAGGCCTAGCAATAGGGGTAGGCCTACTTGCTGTATTATTTCTAAAAGTAAAAAAGAAAAAAATCAGATATATTTATTTTATCTAACAGTTCTGAACATTATCAGTATAGTAAACATAGAATAATAACGATATACTGTGGCCCGATTGCAACGATATTAGGTCTACAGATCAAAGGAATATATAATTACATATAGGCCCTAATTAAAATTTAATATATATATAATCGTTTAGAATTATCTTAAATTTCCTTCTGGCTCTAGCTCATCATATTTATTTTCAGTCCTTTTTTTAATACAAGATATACGGATACTGTACTATAATGACAATGTCTTGAATTGAATACGCGCGTCTTTCCAGCAAGCTACATCAAGCAATTTTCTAAGAAAGTGATGGGTCATCATGACGTCAGCGGGTAATCACGTATAAAGTAAATTTACGATGCGTGTAGTTAGCACTCAAAGCACAACCATGGCATTTTTACCTTAGTTTTATGATATTATTTCTTGTTATGTTATGAGTAAAAGATGGAACCAGTTCATGGTAATGTATACAACACCGACGATAAGAGCAACTACGGTCCAAATAGGAAAGATGATGAACACGACACGCTGAAAAATAGGAAATATGAAATCTTATAGGATGAGAACAATATTAATTATAGTATGATTTTTTTACATTTAACCTTTATATTGTCTATACTGCTTCTGTTTGGAGCTCTCCACCTAATGCCCACTATTGAGTGCGACAAGTTTCCGCAGTTTTCAACTTCAATTTGAATATATTTTTCCTTTTTTTTCCTTAAAAAAATGAAGGGGGGTGTCTTGAATCCACCTCTGCTCAAAACATTCTTTATCCAGAATAGTCATAATCACGAAAGATGGACATGGAAAACCAGATCACATCCTAAACACAAACAGCAGTCACTAAGACATACATCAGGAGCCGACTCGATGGAGTTTAATGCCCATACCCAGGGAAGAGCACAGATCTGTTTTGAAAGGTGGAGGGGAAGGACATTTTGTAAGTCGACACCCACCCCAGCCCCACAATGGTTGGAGCTGAGGTGAGAAAATAGTACCTCTAGAT